TATATATATATATATATCTGAGGGGTTGACACCCTGTTATTCCCTAAACAGTGTGGACACACTAGGGGTTCTTATGGTAGTAGTTCAGAGCCGGTGTCTAATCGAGGTGTTGGACCGACGTGCGCGGCTAATTCGCTGCTATTTACAGTACATTCATGCCTCTCGAAGTGCTCGAAGTGCATTTCGACTGCGCAGGCTCGCAGAATCTGGGTGTCCACGGCGGGTGCTTCTCGCGACTGCGCTCTCGTTGTGGCGCCGAACGCATTTTCGGACATCACTTTTCGTGGCAGGCACACGGGGAAACCTCGTGCTTTGGTAGTCCAAAGTCGACTTTTCGTGACAGGCGCAAGGGATCGGAGCGGTTTGATTTCGTGGTAGGCGCAGCACTTTGTGAACCTCGAAGTGCAGATTTCGTGGCAGGCACAGCAGTTTGTGAACCTCGAAGTGCAGATTTGGCTGTGGATCAAAACCCGGATACCCAAACCAGGTCAACCCAGGTAGCCCGGTTTTGACCCACACCCACTTCGTGGCAGGCACAGCAGTTTGTGAACCTCGCAGTCCAGATTTCGTGGCGGGCGCAGCACTTTGCGAACCTCGCAGTGCAGAATTCGTGGCAGGTGCAGCACTTTGCGAACCTCAGTGTGCAGAATTCGATGCAGGTGCGGCACTTTGTGCTCAGATGCTGACTCTCACTCTCACTCTTTCTCATTCTCACTCCCACTCAGGCTCACACACGCTCACCCTCACGATCACACTCACAGCTCACTCTCACTCACACTCACCCTCACGATCACACTCACAACTCACTCTCACTCACACTCACCCTCACTCACACTCACTCACACTCACTCTCACTCACTGTCACAGTCACAGTCACAGTCACAGCCACAGTCACAGTCACAGTCACAGTCATAGTCTCACTCACTCACTCACTCACTCACTCAACACCAAATCACCACCATCACCTCTCTGGACCCCAATGCGTCTAGATCTCTAGACTTTCTGCTGCTACACCTCTAGACCTCACACACACTGTTTGGGGTCTCTTGCCGGGATAACTTTTTATCAGGGTAATTGCCATAGGTATCCAACAAGTGACAGGGTCAACGGTAACTGGGGCTACCATGAATGTGGCCCACTTGCCTGTAGTTGGAATTTGCAAAGACGTCCTCGACAGTCTTCTGATGACTCAATTCCTCGTCGTTGGCGATGTTTTGCAGCTCGCTCATGATCTCCCCAAAAAGAACTTCCACCTGGAGCTGGGGATTTCGGCTTTCCGATCCCGAAAGATATTGTCCCAAAAAGTGAACATAAGACAGCTCCCAGCGTGACAGCGAGAAGAGACACGGAAGACTTTTCAGAACTACTCGACTTGTGACTATTTAGCCAGCTCCCGGTCTTTCAGTGCTCGTCCTCCAGTTTGCTCTGGTGTCAAGCCTACTGGCCTACTGATGTGAGACGGTTGATGAGACTGTTTATAGACCTGGGGTCCATGGCTCCAAGGCCCGGCACGAGTCCCGAAAGCCGACCCAGGTGAGCGGAGGGACCGAGGGATGAGGGAACCCATCAAAGAAGCTTCAAAGACCTAAAAAGCGTCTTGTTACTTGTAGTAATGGCCTCCGCGTTTCTAGCGATGGCCTCCAACCTAGTAGCTTCTTGTTACTAGTAGTGATCAAAGACATACTAAAAAGTGTCTTGTTACTACAGGATTACAGGTGAAACGATTCCCAAGGAAGCTTCTAGTTACGGAGTCGGATCCAGCCTTCGTCTCCAAGCGCCAAATATCCAAGGCCTTGGCGCCTCCACGCAAACGGCCTGCGCCCTCGATGAACTCCTGCTGCCAACGTGCCGGCACTGGGCTGGGAGCGAGTGGATGACAATTTAGGCAGCACACTTAATCAATATGGATTCCATCAATAGTGTTGCCCACATGGTCTGGTCACACTAAAACACTCGTTCAGTTCTGCAGCACAGCAAGAAAAACACCAAATTGACCCGCTGATGCACGGCATTTGGGCGCTAGGTTCCCGTATGCTCTTGTCACACGGTGAAAGTGGAAACCAGCATTGTGGCTGTTTGGGATGCAACTTGATGGGGGCTGGGGTCTGGTCCAAAACCCATTGCGCCCCAACATATCCTTGGACATGTACCTGGACAAGAAACACATGGGGATTGTGAAAACTCGGGTTTCTGGCTGATTGAGAAAGGACATGGGGAAGCCGACTCTACGAACTAATATACCCTACATTCCTACATCCATGTCTAGATGATGGCGTGCTAGTGCTAGCCGTTCAATGCTTGAAGCCATCTAGAGTCTAGAGTGTACAGCAGTTGCGAGCCGGGTCTAGCTATGTTTTGGTTCTAGGCTCTAGGCCTTTACTTACCTTGAACACCCCGTGGATCCTATCTACAGTTCCACAGATATCGTGATGGCAAGGTATTGATTGAACACCTTGAGGCCAATTGTCCACGGCTACATCCGTACGGGCACCCACAAGAACAGATTCAAATTTATATAATTTATATATCTATATACACAGTAAGTGGTTGTAATTGGATTCAACACGCAGGCAAGGGGCACGATGTCAAACAAAACTCACGTTGATCAAACACGCGCTGGCTCACTTGGCCCAAACAGGAACTAAAGCCACTAAAACATTCTCTATGTTTATGCATCCAGGGAGTACTTGACTTGGCATCACAAAAGAAAACCTGCTCGCAGCAAAGCTCCTTGAGTGTGATTTGTCCATCACCTGCCAGGGTGGCCCAGGAAAATGAGCTCTCTCAAATGGACCCTGACCTGGACCTGGCCTTGGCAAGCCCCCAGAATCACAAACAACGCATATAGAAAAGTATTGGAGATGCGTTGCTGGCGAGTTTTTTCCCATGATAGTGATTGGTGATTAGATTTGGTCTCTGGTACCACGTGCCTTCTAACAGTCCATTCATTTGGCTGCATCCTCCTAGTTATCATCTTGAGCGTGGCATTCCTAGGGTGGCCCACATGTTGCGAACTCACACACACATATGACAAATCACAAATACTAGATCAGATCAAAAGTCACAGATCACAGATCGATTTTGCATCTAAATCACGCACACCTTCAACATGTATTCGCAGAACATCGATCATTTGACAACGGGGCTTTGTTAGGCTCTGTCAACTTCCAACCCCCAGCCAGCTGCATCGTAGCTAGCCTCTATCTTCCCATCTTTGGGCTCTTTACTTCAGAAAGCGCCGGGTTCGTTCTTTCAACATATTTCCCTGTTGCTCAGTGCCCCCCTGTGCGTTACACTTCCTGAAACATCTGACCTTGGCACCACGCCCTCAATAATATATATATATATATAGATATATATCCAATTGTGATAGCCACGACATTGTGCAAGGTAAAAACATACCTTGCTACAACACCCTCTTAGCACCATTGGACTTGGGAGGTTCCCTCCTAAAATTGCTGTTCAGGGTATCAACAATTTCCACCCCTCTTCAGAGACCTTCAGAGTACAGTATGGCATCAGTCTGGCCCTGATGAGCCTGATGCATGTTTTCCCTTTGCCAGCCAGTGAGCCCTTCTGCCGGGTGGCCATTGTCCAGGAACTCGAACAAACTCAAGAGGTCATGATACTCCAGCTCCAGCTGACCTTTGTCGCTTTCAAAAACCAGGGGTCAAACGAGTCCATTTGAGTCTCCAGAGTCCGGGCCAGGGGATAGAGCGGGTCGTTTGAAGAAAACGGAGAGATCTTGAGTTGAGAAATTGGAAGGTTCATCCACTTAGTAGACTTATTTGATCTTATGTGATTTAACATCATATTCTAGCAATATAGCATAATCTAGATATTCCTATATCAATTCTAAATGTTCTAAAATCACTTCTAATATATTCTTCTGGTCCTGCCGCACGAGGCAGCCAGGCAGCGAAACAGGGATTTCAAGACATTCACGAATATGAATAACATGGGTGTACAATGGTGTGCATGTTATATAATAGGAGACCCCCAATTGTTCTTGGTCTATCTTCCTTCTTCCAGGAGGTCTTTGGGACGTCTCCCCATTTTTCAATACACACCCACATCTTTTCGCGAAGGCTCATTCAGCCCCGAACTAACTCATGGAGGCAGTTCGCCCCGAACTGATGAAATCTGACCTATGCGTGGAGCAAAAGCGCGAGCTTGTTTCTGCGGGTGTGCAGGTGCTGCTGTCTTCCTTCGTGTCTTCCATTATGTCCTTCGTGATCGTCCCGGTGTTGGGTGTCCGCCCAACATCGACTCCCAGTGGCTCATCCAGAACTTCAGTTTCGGCGACTTCACCAACTTGGCAAACCTCAGGCGACGAGAGTCGTCGCCCACGACCGTGAGGACCATGAGTTCGTCCGTCTCGGGGCGACCGTGCGGAAAAGACGACGCACGGGAGAGGGTGTACGAATTCAAGGCTTTGTGAGTTTGATGTCTTGCGACATAAAACATGTCGAGAAATGAGCTGATATGAACTGATCCCCAATCTCGATCGAGGACTTCCCCTGCCTTTCAATTGTTGGCGGCGACTCGCGCATGAAACGATGTGGAACGAGAGATTGGCACACTCTTGGCCACTACGGAGGGACTGGAAAGTCACCTGCCTCGTAGTCATATGTAGTCATGAGTTAACTAATGAGGCAAGCTCCCCTGAGGAAACAACACATCAAGTTCAAAGACTTTAGTTCTTGGGACCGCCGAAGTATAGGGATTACACAACCTCCCGCACTGTGCGCTTTTCCTGATCTCTGCGGCCTCTCCGAGAGGGGCTTTTGGCAGGTGAAGCCAAGAAGGTCTCTCCCTCCTCCAAGGTCAACTCCAGCATGGCGTTCACCGCACGCTCGGTGGCTACACGCAGCCGCCAGGCACGCAGCATGGCTTTTCCAGCCCAAAGGTTTTTCGAGGCCAACAAGCTGAAAATCAGGGAGGCGGAGCGCCTGGTGCGCCTAGGACGACGCAAAGGAGTCCAACTCAGCTCGGTCGCCACGAAACTGACCGTTGTGGCCTCGCCCAAAGCGATCCTCGAGCCCGGACTCGTGGCGCCCTCTGCGAAGGCGTCTGCAGCGGAAGTCAATGTCTGGGCATCTGCCTCCATGGCCTGCGAGGCACGTGCATGCATGCGCTCCCGCCTTGGTTGAAGGCAGCCTAGGTCAAACCAAACGCCCATGAGGTCCCGCAACAGCCAAGCATTGGACCTTATGAGCAGCATCTCCGAGAAGATCTGAAACTGGTTCTTCAGCGCGTCGGCTTCCTGCTGTATCCACATGGGCCTTGGTCTCTCCTCCCCAGTGCAAAGCCGCTGCCAGGCACGCCACGCTTCCCGAAGCTGCTGACCACGTTTGACCTTGGGTAGGTGCAGCCCACCCAGTATGGATTCTTCTCTCCGCTGCGTGACACCTGCCCAATGTGCTTGTCGCCACACCTGCCACTGCTGCCAGCACAAATGAAGCACTGCATGATTTCGGCCCAGCACACGGTGTGGTGCCAGCGAGTCCAGCACGGTGTCGTAGTCACGTTGCAATGCTTGACTTCTGGACCCCAGCAGCTCCGCCCAACCACGTAGCTCCGACTCCTTCCGTCGCAGGTCCGAAAACGATCCGCGTGGTTCCTCTCTCACCTCCCACACAGCCATGGCCTCCAGGTATGAAGCATGTTGCGACACGATCAGTCGTGACCAAGCAGATACAATCTGCCGCAGGAGAGCCTCAGCCGACCTTTGGCTGTGCAGCAGTTCCACCCGGCACATGGCTGCGGCCAGTCGATATGACACCACCCCCTCCCGTTCTCGGAGCCTCTCAAGTGTGGTCGCCCTCTTCCTGGCTGCGGCCTCCAAGCGCTCAAGAGCCTGCTGCCGGCGCAACTGGAAGTACCAGCGATGGAAAAACTGCTCAAGGAAAAGCAGGTTTTGTTGTGCTTCCTTTCGGGATAGGAGCACTGTGGGCAATCTCCTCGCAGGCCTTCCTTCCCAGGCCTTGAACACCACACGCAGGAGCAGCTGGCGGAGCTGGTTGCTGCCCTCCAGGGTCTGCCCCAAAAATCGCAAACGTGCAAGCTTTGCATTTTCTCGCGCAGCCCTGGATGGTACCGATCTCTGCCGCAACCTAGCAGGATGGTAAGCTCTGGAGCTTGCTGGAGACGAAGTTACGTACAATTTTCCGACACGACACTATGTGCAGCAAGCAAGCCAGCAAGCGCTTGACTCAGCCTTACGTAGAATGGGTGAACATGCCAACAAAAGACCGTCGAAACCCATCCCAACGTCAGCCTTGGGACCATCCTATGCTGCCCCACCCATGCGGTGCCTTGCATCGCTCTGCGCAAGGACCGTGGTGAGTCGGCTTTCTGCTGCGTGCAGCCCTTGAAGCGCATCGGCCAAACGCTGGTCCATAGCGTCATGGACTGAGTGCTTGACGAAGGGGCTTTGAGCCTCCGGGTAGGGCCAACTGAAGTGCTTAACTCAAAACCTATGGATGTCCTACAGTTTTGTAATGTTTTGTCATAGGGATGTGGTCAATGAGCATTTGACTGTGTCAACACAGACTGCGTCGTGCGGCCTTGGATTGTCCCAACCACTCGACCTGTCGTTCATCGACCTGTCGATAACCGTGGATGATACGGCAGGGCTGAATTCGGTGGTTCAAAAGCCGGTCGAGCCACAAACCGCAGAGTGACATCCTGGAAATCCAGTCGAGGTAGAAGGACTCCGTGATACACTCCGAACGAGTGGATGTGTAGAATCATAGGAAACAATGCCCCTCCGCAAATCTCGAATCTCGAAGGAGGTTACCACGATTTACCACGTATGTGTTTTGTCGGAATGTATGCAACATAATATGACCCAATCACTGACCCAATTGTGGACAGGTTGACTCTGGGTTTGTCAGATCGCCGTGCCAAGCTGCTCTTGCAAGTTGATGGCTCCGTCACCTGTCAAACAGCATTGTTCATCTACGAGTTTTCAAAGTCAAAGGGCAAGTTGATCAGCCAAGGAACGCCTGGCTTGTTCTGCGTCGTAGCAGTCATACACCGCCTAGGGTCTTCCTCTGGGAGATCCAGTCGTTTGATTGTGAATTGTGATTGACATCGGGCGCCGTTCACACAAATCCTCTTATATATATACAGTATATATATATATCAGTCACACGCGGGCGGGTGGTCGGGAGGCATACCAGGCATACCAGGCCTGAAGCATCCATGGTCTGGAAGAGCTTTTTCACCTTCTTGGTGTAGACCGCTGCATCTTTTTGTTTCCTGAGTGGGTCACCACGTGTTTTCGCTCGTTAGACTCCGGATCAGTTCCGGCCACGTTTTCGCCATTCTTCCAGGTTATCCATTATGTTTGACATCCACAACCTCAAGTTCATGAACCCCCAAACCCGTCATACTTTCAAACAATAAAAAAAATATGTTTGTTTCATACACTTCCAACTGAAACGCACATACTATATAATTATATATTATATATTATATATGTTGAAGGATGCTGGACCACGACAATGACAAGTCAATAGAAACAGGTGGTTGCTAAGATTATAAACCCGCCCCAGGACAACAATTGTAACACGAACATGTTTCTTTGAATCACTCCCGTATTGTTTGTCTGCGTTCTGTTGGCCACAGTTGGAGGTCTTTTATCATGTGCCAGTGCACTGAACCATATTGAGCCAGTCCTTGTCAGGAGCCGTCCGCGGATTATCAGCCGCGATGTGGTGGGCCCAACAATTCCCGTTTGGCACTTGGATCTTTCAACCAAGGGGCTGCTTGAAGGCAAGATCTTCATCGGAACTTGCCGTTTTCATCGTTTGCTGTACAAAAACCGCATTCACAACCTGCAGCCAAAGGTTTGTCCAAATGACAGAAGGCACCCACAAAAAGAACACCGAAATAACCAGCCTCTCAAAGCATTATGACCATTTAGGGTTCCCAAATCCTGTAATTGTGCGTGCAAATAGATACAATACAAGTATATATATATATACAGTATACTGTAATACATACAAAAATGTGCACATGTACCCATCGTTGTCGAAACATGTTGAAATATGTTGATATGCTCTGTGTATGTCCATGTCTACCTCCCGATCTGGAGCGCAAATGTGGGCATGTCCACAGCCTACATTGCAGCCCATGTGGCAAGATTACGCCAGCATAGACCCCAAATAGCCAAAAAGAATTGCGGGCAGCTCCCTGCAGCGGCACCATCACTGAGCACCCAGCCTCTGGCGGCAGCGCCCTGCAGCAGCGCCAGCACCCAGGCTCCAGAGCACACACCCATACGCATCTGGCAGCGGCACCCTGCAGCGGAACCAGCACGCAAGTTCCAATCCAAAGCGCACACGGCCATATGCATCTGGCAGAGCACCCTGCAGCGGTGCTAAGCACCCAAGCTCCAAAGCGCATTCTGCATTCCTATACTTGAAGTAAGAACGCCTAAGAGCTCTCGCCCTCTGAGAGAAAGATTGTTCCTCGGCATTTTTGCTGCACGTTTTTTCGCTAAAAGGTCTCATTGGTTGGTTGGTTGGTTGGTTGGCTGGCTGTTCAATTCGCTCATTTTTGGCAACCTCGTGCATAGAACTTTTGGATGCAGCATCTATGCCGCATTTGTCTTGCTTGCCCTGTTTGTGTGAGGGAGAGGTGCCCCACTTGATGTCACTGAGGTGTGGTGACCACACCTTCCAATAGACACCGGTAGAAGATGGAAGAAGCATCTGGGGACACAAAACAACAAGCAGCATGCCTTTATCGAGAAGCACCGGGCATGCGTCAGGAGCCACACCTGCAATGAGTCTAATTCACCTTAGGTGCATCTCTTTAAGTCGAGAAATGTTGCTGGCAAATATCTAGAATCTATATTATATAGGTTGGTGTGGGGGCAGATCGTGTGATAAGTTTCCCGTAAATGCCCTGGAACATGTTTATGGCGGGCGAACCGCCGCAAGATGAGCACGCAACAGTAACAGCAGCAATGGGTAGCGGTAGCAGGTATTCCACACACATGTTTGCAAGAAACCAGGGCATCTGCGAGCAGGACTCATAGAAGCCACGCAAACTCATAGAAGTCACGTGAACCTCTCAGGGCTGCAAATGAGGCGGGGCATATCTTTGTTGTCCTCCTTGGACAATTCTTCAGAGCCTCCAACCGTGAACAGCATGCTTCTCGCATTCTGGGGCTCACGCGCCCCGACCTTGCCGATCTGGTCGGCTGAGCCCTCCGACAAAAACAAAGTAAGTCGGTATCTCAGTCATGCAATAAAGACATGTTTAAGCATTTCAGCAAGTCTTCTACTGTACTTTGGGAGTGCCAAATTGTCAGTCAGAGCGGTGCTGCCTCAAAGTTTCGTTTTTGCATGAGATGACCACATCATGGGCGCTGACCATTCAACCAAATCCAGCAGAAACTCACTTTGCAGTACGCAGTATGCGGCATTCTCGCACCTTTCCGGCTTCACATGTGGCACACCGACGTCAGCTGTCTGGACAACCAACAATGACATCACTTCAGCGGCTTCGGCTCCGGCTTCGGCTGTGATCACCAACTCCAAAATCATCTCCATCACACTGTACCACGTGGATATTTCTGAAACAACCAACATGCAAATTAAGGCACAAGTCAACATATAAATATATACAGTCAGAGTAATTATAGCACCTATGCAACACATGCCTGCATGATCATGCAGCAATGCATGCATGCAAACTTGTCCCAGTCAGGTCATTTCACCAAAGAACTCTTGAATCTTAATGCCCTTCCCTAAGCTCTGCCCAAACAAACAGGCTGTCGTGTGCGAGCAAGCTGCATTGAGCACGGCGAACCCCAAAACACCTTGCGAATGAAGCACGGACGATGCCTGCAAACAGACACCACATTGAATGGGTTTGAACGATGGATTGGAAACCAAAACATCAACCGCTTGCATCACGAGCATACCTACCCATTTTGGGGGGGGACCTGAAACTTACATGTTCACCTAACATAATCCTAACAAAATGTAAGTTACATGTATCAAGCAAAGCCCTAAAATTGCAACTATTTTAAGCTACATTGTTCGATCGGTAAAATGCAACTACCTATGGTAAATTGTAAGTTACATTTCAGTGTTATTCACCCGGGGAAATGTAACTTACATCCTGGGTCATGATGGCACATGCATGCCATGGACCTGACTCCCAGAACAAAATGTAACTTAGGTGTGTGCAGCTTGGCGAAGCAACGATTTGGATCTCTCCATAGAAACATGTCAATCTACCCATCTACCTGGGTCACCACTTCTGCTTTTCATTCTTCCTTCAACAGTAATCATCTAGAAATGCTGGATCCTCATGACCTTCAGGGATGGGGGCCTATCTAATGTAACTTTCAGCCTGGCAGACTCCAAGTTACAATTTCCAGACCCCCCCAAAAAAAGAAGGGGGAGGGGATGAGTTAATGTAACTGCATATCCCTGGCAGAGATCATGTTACATTTCCAGACTCCCTCCCCACCCTTCATGCACTATGCACCTCAATTTTGGGCCTTTGGGCCTACTGGGGGGGGTAAGTTACATTTTTGGAGGGGAGAGGGTATGAAATTTTAAGTTACTCCTTTCACACCCCCCAAAAATCCATGGTTAAGGGGGTGGGGATTCACGAGCTTGACTTTGCTTGTTGCTCACGCTGCCACAAACAGCACTGACACGGGCACACTCAAACTCAAGTCGCCAGGCCACATCGGTAGAGCAAAAAGAACACAGAAAACCTCGGGATTGCTGCGCAAACCCAGAGCAAATCATCCCTGTCCGAAAGTACATCTGAAGGTTCAGCAAGTTTCAACAATGACGGAAAGCCGAAACATGCACGCGCAAAGAGAGAGGGAGAGAGAGAGAGGGAGAGAGAGAGGGATAGAGAGAGAGAGAGGGAGAGGGGGGAGGAAAAAGTGAGAGTGTACTTGGACATTGTGTTCAGCCTGGCGGGGAGGAAATAAGAGCATGTCGGTCAGTTCCATGTTGATTGTGTGCGTGTGTGCCTACTGGCCTACTGCAAAGGATTCCTTAAACCTTCTTGCCAGCGAGCGGCCACTCACTGATCGCTTCAACCACGGCTCGACATGGAGGAGCCCAATTCGCAAACAAGATCTCAAACCTGGCGCCCGCGCACACACACACACAACTTGTCGGGCGGAGATGGATGGTCAAGTCAAACACAAATGCACATTGCATGGAAGCCGCTGACAAACTGAACTGCAAAATGATCGACAGCCTACCTACTAACTACTAAATTTGTAAATGATTACATGAGTATCTCAAATGTCTCACATGTTTGGCGGGCATGATGTTTTCCATTTAAATGGGTCAAAGCCCCAGCACTGCTTGGTCGCCCAAGCAGCAATGGGTCGCACATAGGCAAGACTCCGAATCACTAAAGCAAATTACTTTAGCATGATCTGTATACATATGTATATATATATATATATACACACTGTATA